GCAATCCACTCACCTCAGCCTCCCAAAGGTGCGGGATTACAGGCTGAGCCACCGAGCCCGGCCAGAATTTGATTTTTAAAAAAGCAATATTAGCACACCACTTAGTATATGGAGGTAATGACTGAAAGAACAGTTAAACATGGTTGTTCTGACAGGAACTACTGAAGGTGTATGGGACAGTGGGTCAAAGGATTATTATTTTTTTATTAAACTTTTTTTCTTTCTTTTTTTTTAATAGGAGTCTCACTCTGTCACTCAGACTGGAGTGCAGTGGCATACTCACGGCCACCACAGCCTCGACCGGCTGGGCTTAGGTAATTCTTCTGCCTCAGCCTTCCAAGTAGCTGGAACCACAGGCACGCACCACCACACCCAGCTAATTTTCTGATTTATTGAAGAGATGAGGTCTTGCCAAGTTTCCCAGGCTGGTCTCGAACCCCTGGACTCAGGCAAACCTTTAACCTCCACTTCCCAAAGTGCTGGGATTGCAGGTGTGAGCCACTGCGCCTGGGCTGTGATAAAACTTTTAAGAAGTTTTCAAAAGTCTTTATTTTAAGTTTGTCTAGTTGATAGCCTTTGAGCAGTTGAAAAATTCTGATAAGAGAAATACTAGAGTTCTAGCTTCCTCTGGAGGTGCTGCTGATGGAAGGATCCTGCAGACATCACACAGAGACATCTGCTCACACATGCTCTGGAGCTAAACTGCAAACACTGACTGGAAAATCTAAAAATAACTGAAGTCATTTCCTTTGATAAACCTAGTCAACTTGTTCTCCTAGTTGCTGGCTTAGTTTATTCCCCCCTCCCACCCAATAAAATGTCAATCTACATACACTGGGATGCCAACAAATACATACACATTTTAAGAGATGTTATCTTTGTATTACTTTTAGTTCACCATAATCAGAAGTGGCTGGGCGCTGATGGTCACCACTTTGAGCTCCTCTTGTAATTGCAGAAGTCGAATGTGACTTACATTCATCTTTTGTCATCAGTATACATTGAGTATTACAATTCTAATCGTTTTTTTTTCCTTTCTTAAAACGTGTATACTTTTTTTTGACACCCTGTGTGTGCGTGTGTGTCAGGTATCAGGTGAATAGGGAGGGAGGGGCACAGGGGTCATGCTGTTTTTGGTCCAAAACTGCTGAAGACTCAGTGCAGTGTGGGCAGGTGCATTGTCAAGGTGGTAGAACTAGTCACCTGTTTGCCCAAACTTAGAACGTTTCTTCTGCAAATAACGACACAGGTAAAAACTTTGAAAACTTCCAGGTAAAAACTTTGGTTGACTGTGTGTCTCATGGTGAGGCTGGTCCTAACAGACTCAGCTACATGCACATTCCATTATGTCTCTCTTCCCCACTAGCCTGTGCTGCTGTAGTGTAATTTTAAAAAAAATTATCCTTTGTGCCCAAGCCCTCGGGGAACTTGAAACTCTCAAGGCCCGGACCCACTCCTTCTAACTGTCAGTCTCCAGATTTCCCAAGAATAGTTAGGATTATTTTTAAATGAAGTAGTTTACTTTGAAATCCTTGGACTTTGGCCATCTTTTTAATCATATCCAGGTCCAAAGTGTTGAGCCGAATGTCCCCTGTGAAGTGGTGGTAGGGGATGAAGTCCCCGCTCCTGCAATGGCTGCACCTGTGGGCATTTACTTCTAAGAAGAGGGCACATTTCAAGTGCATGGCTTTCTTTTCATTCTTCAGCCACAGCTCGTAGGCCGTCTTCTGCATCACAGGGCTGCAGAATCGAATGATGCTGCATTCAATGACCTCACCCTCCAGTTCCCGCAACTCTTCCTCTTTACGGTGAGCTGGAGAGAGAGGAAAGGGTTTTTCATGAAGGCGGTGGGGAATGGATCAACTCTCTGATTGAGATGGGCGTTGAAGGGGACATACACGTCACTTCCAGGTACTACTCACCCAGGCTTTCATTGGGCTTCAGAGACAGAGAACGATAATGCACCTCAAATGAGGTTGCGTTGTGTTTTAGGGCCATCCGAAACTCCTTGCCGTTCCGGAAACCATCAAAAATGTTAGATTTCATGAGGGTTGCCAGGGCATTGATCATCATCTTCCTATCCCAACAAGGGAGAATCTCGAACAACAGCTCCGTAGTGAAGGTCAGGCCAATGATGGCAGCACACCTCACTAGCATTTGGTGGGAAAGAATCATGCTATCCAGCTGGATTAGAGAGATTTCTGCAGGTAGAAAGTCATGCAAGAGGGAACAAGGTATCAAATACATCCTAAAAGTGGACAACCATCCTGTTCTATACTTCTTGTTCCCAAGAAACCCAGCCAAGCCAAGTTAAAAGAAGTATTTAGTGAGCAACTCATTCATAGATAGCACCTGTGCGGGGCGGGGGCAAAAGATGCAGATGCTATGGTCTAAAATGACACATGGAGGTTGGGCACAGTGGCTCACACCTGTAATCCCAGCACTTTGGGAAGCTGAGGTGGGAGGATCGTGTGAGCCTAGGTTAGGCAACATAGCAAGATCTTGTCTCTACAAAAAATTAGCCAGATGTGGGGGTGTATGCCCGTTGTCCCAGCTATTCAGTAGGCTGAGGCAGAAGTATCGCTTGAGCCCTGAAGTTTGAGGCTGCTGTGAGCTGTGATTGTACCACTCTACTCTAGCCTGGGTGACAGAGTAAGACCACAACTCAAAAGAATAAATAAACAAAAGTTTAAAAAATAAAATCCACAGGGCAAAAATAAGATTGATTTCATGATGTTCTGATTTCATATTAGAGTGTGACAAGGGCATGTGAGGAGAGAGGAGGTCATTATAGACCACAGTAGACAGATGGAGCAGGGCCTGTCATTCCTGTTCCTTAGCGTCCCCAGATGGTTTTTCTTTGTCTTTTTCCCTGGCTCCCCTTTCTCCTGGCACCTCCTAGCAACAAGGCTTCTCTGTATCCTCCCTGGACATTCATGTTTTCTCTTGATATACATTATCATCTCTATGTCATGACCAAGTGTCAGAGAGCCCATAGCTCCTATCCTGACTTCTCTTCCAAGCCTGAGTATCCTAGCTTGTGTGGCTTCCTGGACATTTTGACCAGGATGTCCTTCCATGAGGGACAAAATGTGACATTCTCAAGTAGACAAGATGAATGAAACATATATGATGCTGTTTTGAAGACTGGGAGCCTTGAGGTGTCCCTAGGTCATCCTTCTAAATATTTTTTTTTTTTGAGTTGGAATCTCACTCTTTTCACCCAGGCTGAGTGCAGTGGCACACTCACAGCCACCGCAACCTTGACCTGCTGGGCTTAGGTGATCCTTCTGCCTCAGCCTTCAAAGTAGCTGGAACTATAGATGCACACCAACATGTCCGGTGAGTTTTTTTATTTATTGTGGAGACGAGGTCTTACCAAGTTGCCCAGGCTGGTCTCAAACCCCCGGGCTCAGGCAATCCTCTTGCCTCAGCCTCTCAAAGTGCTGGGATTACAGGCTGAGCCACCATGCCTGGCCCTTTTAAACATTTAAGGTTACTTATGGATGGCATAGATTAAAGCTGAATGCATGCTAGAACATTCCTCGAAAGTCATTTATCTTTAAAAGAATAGTAATACATCTTTGATATAAACTCTCTTGTGATTTTTTTTCTCAAAAAAGTAGGTGGCAGAAAACATCTTCATATTAGATTTTTTTCTCCCTCATTGTTTGGTTCCTGTTTAACTGAAAATGTACTATACCCATTCTTTTATGCAGTTGAATAAATCTTTGTTCAAATCAGATCCCAAAATGTGCACAGGGGGGAGGTGGCTCATAGTTAGAAGAAAAGCCAATCTACATGGAGACTTCCCACTGCTTTGGACAACACAAAACAAACATACTGACTCCATTTTACTACTTTTCTTTCTCCTTTTAAAAACAATCGTCCTAGCCTGCACTCCAGTCTGGTCGATGGAGTGAGACTCCAACTCAAAAAAAAAAAAAACTGTAAAAGAACATATTGTAAATTCCAAAATGTTATCTAAAATGTCAGCATGACCAATAGACTTTGTCACATCAGTAGCCACACATCAGAAATTGTTACTGGGAGTTCCGGTAAGATGGCGATGGCATAGGTAGAATTGTGAGATTCTCCGAATGTGAGTTCCCAAAAAGACTCTTACTTTTCTTCCCCCACCCCCCTGCCCACCACCAGCCGCACTGGTCCGAGGCCTGGGGACCTTCAGTCCCACGCAGGGCCGGATATTGCAGCCCCCGGCTGCTGCTGCTCCATTATACATGACTCCCACCCACACGGAAGTCTCGGGTCTTGGCTCCCTCCCTGGCTACATCGTCTAGCCCAGCACCCAGCACCAAGCCGCCAGTCACCCAGGGGGGCTCTGGCCACCCGCTCCTCAGAGATACCGGTTCCATTTCTGGCTGAAGTACCTTGTGAGGAGCCCAGGGCCACTCTTGCCACTCACCGCCTGCTCTTTGGAGCTTTGGAGCTCTGGAGGTCTGGGTCCACCCTGACTGAGGCACTCAGCGTGCGATCCCATGCTTGTGCAAGGGAACAGCATATATTAAGGAGGTGCCGATCGGAGGCTCTCAGCTCCAGAGGAGGGGAACTCCCGACCCCCTCCTCCACCCCAGGTGGAGCCCCAGTGGCACCCTGGATCCAGCGCCCAGCTGTGCAGCTGATCCCCAGTGCCTCCCACGCTACCACAGCCCATCATAGTGGACCGCCCAGGGACCCAGACGAGCGGAGAGAAAAGATCCGTGAAAGTGAAGCTGCCACCTCGGCCATTCTCCAGGCAGAGATTTGCATTGCTCCGCCCACCTATCAGCAACCTCCACCTTGGTTCCTAAGGTAATGTTGCTAAACAGGAGACAAAGCTCCTCCCCTACACTGTATCAGACAAAAGCAACTGAGTGTCGCAGACCTCCCAGGCAGCAGGCTAAAAAAACAAATCCAAGCTGCAGGTAAATATAGCTGCCTGCAATGAAAACAAAGGGGAGAGCCTGGAGATTAGAGCTGAAGAGACTTTAGACACTCAGGAAAGTTTCCAGAGATAGTCTGATCTCTTATTTTGACTTTTGATTTGATCATTTTGACTGTTTGTTTTGCTCACTTTTGTTTGCTTTCTGATTTACACTATCTGTTTCATGATTTTATTGGTCTGTCTTTGTGTAGCTACCAATATTCTTTAGGAAATTTTGCTTGTGTGTTTTTTTTCACTTCTCTCTGACCTTGTGTCTCTTTTTCACCTGTTAGTTGGTATGTATGTCTGTTTTCCCTCTCACTCTTCTCTCTTTCTAACTTCCTATTGACCCCCCCTTCCTCCATTATTTTCCTCTTTTGTACCTAATTTAGATCCAGGGACCAAACGTACATACCGCTACACAGACAGATTGTAAGGCAGTGGGAAATAGGCTCCAGTATGCTCATACACCTGTTGGTGGATGCTGGAATCAGCAGATAGATTCTGAATCACAGCTTCCCCCTCAATTAAACCTCAAAACTGCAAAAAGTATAGCCCGCATCCCACAATCCAACCTCAAAAGTGAACAAAGCCAGAAGACCCTCATAGGGAAGAACAGGAGATTGCACAAGTGAAGCAAAAGCAACCCCACCTTCCCTGAAAAACAGAATTAAAGAAGGGGAGGGAAAGGGGGAGAGAGAAAAATCTACACAAATGAAGAAAAACCAAAAGAAGAATATGGGTCTCTCCCAGACCCCTGGGAGGGCAGACACTGAGAAAACTGAATGCAAACAATGAGGAGCCCCCAGAATGACTGGTCTCAAACTACAAACCTAGATATCAAGACATTAATGAGAGATTTAAAAGAATTGAGGAGAGTCAAGAAGAAACTAGAAAGGAGCTGATATCTGAG